CGCACCGGCACCGGGAGGATCTCGCCCGGCCCCGCCTCGCCCGGGCTCCGTTCCGGGGGTCCCCCTCACGGATTGTGCGAAGGGACCCCGGGAGGGAGACGGGGGGGGCGGGGGAGGATTGCCTCCATGCCAAGGAAGTGGTGCGGTTCCACCGGGGCTCCGCTGGCATTTAGGAAGGAAGCAACTGGGATGAAGGGTTTGCCTGAACGGTTACCGGCCTTGCCGAGGGCTGGGTGTCCCCCCCCCCGCTCCCTCTGGTCGACCCTGCACCCGTTGAGCAGACTTGGAAGCGGGCATCGGGGTGTCAAGCAGGGCGTTTATATGACCCTTTGGAGTCTCCTCGCCCCGCATCCTCCCTGGCAAGGCCTTCTGCCCAGCAAGGGGTCCTTTCTATGCCCATCTTACAGTTGGGTGACCAGAGGCAGAAGACCAGCGAGGACCTGCGGGTGGAATCCTGCGCTCCTGGGGGTGGCGTGTGCGGGTGGTGGCTTTCCCAGCGACCTCCTGCCTGCCTTCTCTCCTCTCTGGGCCAGACCAGGGGCCTTAGGCTGCGGTGAAGGTCCTGCCCTTTGACCTTTGACCCGCCCCTGTTTTGGACTTGCCGGTTCCTTCCACACACACCCCCACACCCAGGTTGGCCCTCTGCCTCTGGCTGTCCTCCTGGCCCTGTACATTTGGAAAGCTACCCAGATGGTGACCCGATGCAGGAGGCCGGACTCTGGGTTTTTCCTCTCTAAACAGTGATGCAAAGCCGTTCTTGATCTTGTCAACCTTAGTGGGTTTAATTCTCAGAGGTGAGACCTTGAAGATCCTTGAAGCAGAGATTTTGTCCATGCTGACCAGACAGACAGAGACTGAGAAAGAAAGAGAGAGAGAGAGAGAGAGAGAAAACAAGAGCAAGCTGGGTGAAAATGGCAAGTTTTTTCACTGGGAGGAAGAAAGAAAGAGAGAGAGAGATAAAACAAGAGCAAGCCGGGTGAAAATGGCAAGTTTTTTCACTGGGATTTTGAGAACTGCTGTGTCCTCAGGTGCCGTTTCACCATGGTCGGAATGCCTGTCAGAAAGCACCTTTAAGGCTCACGGGTTGGCGCCCCCCCCCACGCAAGCTTTTACGGAGGGCAGCTCGCTTTCTCAGACAGACGTTGTGAGATGTTTAACCACAGAATTCCCTCAAAGTAGACACGGCCTGGGATGTTTAGGGAATCAACGCTCTGGACATCCCAGACTTGGCTTTCCTGGTGCTGTTCTGGCCACTGGTTCCGTGGGCTTGAAGCCCTCCTCTTATACCTTCTTTGCTGAACGAAGACACCCCGGGGAACTGGAACGCTCACCTCATTCGTAATTGTTCAGTAATCATGTAAAAGTATTGGCTGGTCCAGAACTTGGCCTCTCTGACTGGATCGCCGGCCCTTTTTCCTTTCTTTGTCCTT